ATTGCTTGTGCAGTAGGTAGACATTATGTCTACATCATGCATTGTGACATTCATCTCACTTCGGAAATGAAAGGAGAATCCTGCTGAGTAAATTAGGATCAGTGGTAATACAGCTGTTAGCTACAAACATTTGTTTGGCATGAATCAATCTTGACTCTCCTGTAGTTTGCTTTGATGGTCTCTCTAGTATCTTGTTGACTAATGATGAGATCATGGTTTGTTAATCTAAGTGCATAAAGAAAACATTCTGCCAAGCAAAATGCAGACTCTTTTGCTGGGGTTTATTGCAGTTGTTTATAGACCTTTTGTTTACACAGGCATCCAAACCAATTTGTTGGATATTTATTTGGGTTACTCTACAGAACTGCATGAACACAGACCTGAATCCTATCTTTAATCTGTCTGCATTTTAAGGGGTCATAGTTTGAACAAAGTGGAAACCAGCCACTTAGGATACATTTCTTGTTGGCCAGGGCTTCAAATGTTTTGTGTGCTATCTGTAATTCTCATCTTGAGAGCGTTTAACAACTGGAGAGAGTTGTAAGCCACTCTGATTTGGAGGTAACACATTTGTTTTTGAACAGAAGTTATTAGAACTCATTAAACTTTTGCAACAAGCAAAATACAATTTTTAATCCAGCCAGTGCTTTAAATGCACATATTTTTAAATGTGTAACTTCTTGCTCTCCATAATCATCTCTAATCTTAAGCCAGAACATAACTGCTCCCAACTATTCCATGTGTACCAGGAACTCATGGGTACGCAGTTCCCATTCAAATGGAGCACACATACACAGACATGGCCAGACAGCTCACAGCAGTCAAAATGGCTGTATTTGCAAAGCCTGTAACTGAATTCACAGATTTGAGTGGAAATAAAGGCAAATGAAGAGTAAAGCAGCTTCCGATGGCTGCTTTTCTCTGCTATTTGAAGGCCTCTCACCTTTGCTACTTAGCAAAAGTTCTTTCAGAAAATGAGAGAGTAATATGAAGAAGCTCTCTGCGTTTCTGATATGGGTAAAAATTGTCCCCCTCATCAGCACTTGTCTTGGAAATAAATAAGGTCCGCTGTTCATTTAACTGGGGAAGAGAAGAGACTTGTATAACCTCTCCTGTACTTCTGAGCTCTGCAGCCCAACAGCAGACACATGGGTAAGCCAGACATCCTGAGTTTCGATCTGTTCTTAAGGTCAGAAAATATAAATGACTGAGTTTTATTTTAATTAAATTGTTGCTAGTAATTTTTTAAAAGGAACTCAAATAGACAGGAATACATGCAACAGTGAAGAAGCTGAGGCAGAGAGGGACAGAGTAAAAGGGAAAGGCAAGTATAGTGAACAACTGGGAGAGTGCGGGAGATGATAGCTGAGCTTTACAGAACCACTCCCAAGGTCCTGGAGAGTGAGAGTTTCACCCTACAGCTAGGGACCAGAAAGATCAAGGAGAATACAGTAAAACGTAATGAGATATTTAAATTGATTATGGGCTTTCAAGGGAAGGTAGGAAAGGGATAGGAGCAAGTGTTGACATGGTCAGATTGGCTGGAAGAAAGATTGGTTTTGGCCGTTTAAGTTTCATCTGATTGTGGAAGATGAGGAAAAAATGTGTCAGTGAAGCCTGAGAGGAGATTGCCGTAATTAAGGAGGATCATGGATTAGCCCTGGTTCACTAAAACCAACACAGTAAAAATAAACACTTTTGTTAAAATGCCCATACCAAACAAGCTGCTGGAGAGTATGAACCAAAGCAAGCAGAGAAGCCAAGAAAGCTGCTGGAATCTAAGAGGGCACAATATTTTTAGGCTTGCTTTCGTACTCAGTATGATTTTCTTTCTTTCGGTGTGACAGTTGTCAAAGTGAAATTCATAGCCTGCCGGGTGTCTGCAGAACCCTTCCTAGTGAGCTGTAGAGGGAAGAGTTTGGAGAGCCATGCACTAGGGGGCTGGGAGAGGAGGTGATCCATGGGAGGGTGTTTCGTAAGAAGCAGGCAGGCTAAAAGGGATGAAAGAGTTGGCAGACTACTCTTTTAATGTGCGTGAGCTAACCCATAAAAGGAGGGGTCAGAAGGAAAGAGGGAGAGAAGTGGAATCAAACAGTGATGGTACCACAGAAAAAGAGCTTTTTATGATTTTTCACATATTATTTGGGGGGGAGTGTGTGAAAATTAAAAACTAGTACTTAATTTTCGAAGCACTAGAGAATCTAAGAAACAGAAAAGAAATAGTGCAAACTGGACCAGCATCATAAATTAGAAATCAGTATCATAAATGAGAAATCAGTATCATACATGAGAAATCAGTATCATAAATGAGAAGTCATTTATGTGTTGGCATTGCATAGGAATGGGCTTGAGGCCTCCGGAGTTTCAAGAGGTCCTGGACCAACGCATGGATGACAAGGCCATTGGTTGCTATTAAATACAATTGTCCACATGCACCTTCAGGCTCAGAAAGTCTTTAAATTGTTGATTACCAGAAGCTGTGAGGCTACAGCAAGGAAAGGATCACTCTACACATGCTCTCTTCTCCTATAAGCATCTGTTACTGGTCATGTTGCAAGATAAGGTGCTAGGCTGGATGGATCTTTGGTGTGGCTATGTCAGGCTTTACTGAGTTAAGGTCATGAACTTGGCCTTTTGGCTCATATTTCTATGGATTGGGTTCTACAAATTTGGGAAAACATTAGCATTAGATTTTTTTGTAGGAAGAGCAGCCTGTTTTCTGCTTTTAAAAAAACTTTGCAGGAAACAGATAATAATAGCCTGATTTTGGTGATTTTTACAGGCAAATGGGGAGTTTTCATTAGCCGTAAGTATATACTTCAAAGGTAAAGAATTTATATTTTTTTCCAAAAGAACCTCATGGTGAAAACTTGAGAAAAACCTGTGCTTTGGACATCTAAACTTGAAGATCTTTGCTTTTGTACTGTTAGGTTTTATCATTAACTTGTTCAAGTTGAAAGTATTAACTGCCTTAACTAGCACCTGGATGAAATGGGGGAATGGAAGTTAATGTCATGGCATTTATATATCTGATGGCTATTGGAAATCCACATCACTGGAGTGTACAATTGACACGCCTCAGACAAGACCAGAGAGACAAAATATTTCCATTATTATTTCTTTAGAAATTGAAATCTGTTTTGGAGAAGTCAAAGACACTATAGTATAGCTCATATCACAGCATTGTGTTTAAAATGTTACAATGTTGACTTGCTGTTACAAAAATTCAGTGTTACAGGAAATCAGAAACAATATGGAATAGTTTACGCTAACTCTGCATTAAAACGTTCCATCTGTTCTTGCTTTAGGTTCTTAGAGAATTGCTTTTTCATCTCTGTAATGCTTTTCACTTCCTATTAGTAAGGCTTTTAAAGGCAGGCACTGAGTTAGTATAAAACCCACAGCTTTTGAGTTTAAACGCCTATTAAAACTAAAGCTGTCTGGAACTACAATAAAAATTTATTTTGGCTACAAAAGACAACTTTGAAACCTAACCCATCTGTATTTTTCCTCCTCCAAACAGTGCAACATCCTGTATAATAGAATATTTATCTTAAACAGAGACCACATATCTTTATGAAAACAATTGTTTCAACTTAATTTATGGGGGGTAATCAGCTCATATTAAAGTTTTCAATATTCCAGGATGCTAATATAAATTGGTTACAGGAGATGTAATGACTAGAGTAATTCCACAGAATAATCTGAAATCTGATGTTGCCATTGACTTGTAATGTAACCTGTGTATATTATAATCTAAAATTGCCATAAAAAAATTTGTGTACAGGCATATAGTAATTGCAAAACAACCGTGTGTGTGCAAATTAGGCATATGACTGCAGCTACACTTTACTGGTAATTTAGGCTCGTGTATGGTGACTTCCAAACTCGATTACAGGATAATTCCACCAGAATAATTTATTTGAAATAATTGAGCTGGTCTCTGCAATCCCTGGGCCCACCAGGGAGATACCCACACATATCTATTAGGGTTGCTCGGTCAGTCAATTTATCAAGTCAAATCAAAAACAAATTGACTCACTGGAAGAGCAGTATCCCTGGGATGCATAAAGCCTCCCACTGCCACGAGTGGGAGTCAAACATATCAAAGAGAGACTGGATCCCTGGGGTTTAGCTCCCTCCATACAATAGTTTGTCAGATTTTGAATTGAAAAGGGCCGGGTTTAGCACTCTCTAAATATAACCAGCCCTGAAACTCCCACTGAGATTCCTTTCTGTCTGCCTTCAGACGATGAGATAAGGCCCCTTCTCCTGTGACTTCAGTCTGGAGTACCTCTATCATCCCCACCCCAACCCTGATAACAGCCGGCTTTGCACATATTTGAGAGCAAGACACGATCTGAGTTTTGAAGGATTCGTTACTCTTTATGCAGATTACAGCCTTCGTCTTTAGACTGAACCTCCTCTGTAACACCTGCATCAGTGACTCATAGCAAGACATTTTGGCGTGCAGGAGACAACTGACTCCCTTCATCTTCTGGCCAGCTTCTTTTCATGTTGGGAACAGACACCTTGGACAATCTCCTTTTCTCCCTGCCCTCCGTTTTTAGACCTCTTCCTCATCCTCAATATACTGGAATGCAGCATCAAAGTTGAAGTACATTTGCCCCAATTTGCCCCCTTCCTCTCCCCTTTCCCCCAGGTACGCCAAGATACACAAAATTATGGATGCTAAAGCAGCATTTGTGTGTGCTGTGATATACATGGGATGTTCTGCCTACTTGCATGTGATTCACATCCTCATAAGCCCACAGGAAATCCCAGCAATATTTTTCCAGGCATATCTCCTGTGCTGAGGTGCCGAGCACAGCAGGGGCCAGAGGAAAGGAGCCATTTCTACTTTAGAAGTACTGCGGTACATAAGTTAGCTGGGAAGAACAGACCACTGTTATTTAGATGTAGCTCTTTCACTCAGTGACAGTGAGAAATGTAGCACGAGGACTTAATACTATCTCCTTAAGTATGTAGTCACATTTTACAGTAACATATCCGTGAATCCTCTTACCTCAGTGGATCCAGTAAAAGCAATTTTATCAATGCCAACGTGAGATGCTATGGCTGCACCAACAATTGGACCAAATCCTGGCAAAATATTGACAACTCCTGGTGGAAAGCCAGCCTGTCAAAATAGGAATGAATGAAGGGAAGCATGATTTATGAGAACTGACAGAGCATGTTAAACCAGGCATGTGCTGGTAGTTCCTTCCCCACAAGGAGAGACAGAGACATTATTCCTGTCAATTATTCTTACCTCCTTGATGAGGGCTCCCATATAGAGAGCGCTGAGTGGTGTTTGTTCTGCTGGTTTAATAACTACTGTATTGCCACAGCACAGAGCTGGAGCAATCTTCCATGCAAACATCAGCAGGGGGAAGTTCCACTGTAGGAAAAAATAAAAGTTGATAGATGGAAAAATATTGCAGTGGTGTTTTGTTTGCAAGATGTCAAGCTGCTACCTCACTTATTTCTCAGGCTGATCCTCAACATAAATCTTTCCCAGCACAAAGCAAGGATTTTTTTTTTTAATTACTGCCATTAAGAAAGCGACAACAGTGACCTTTTAGTTCTTTCTCTTCTGTTCAAAGAAATACAGCCCCCACCCGCAGTCTTCATAAAAGAATCTTCTGTTATCTGTTAATTTTTTTAGTCACAACTTTTTATTTCATTTACTGTTTTGCAATTGGCACTTTTAATTCCCCCATGACAAATAGTTCTTGCTTCTTATACATTTGGAAAGAACTGTTTGTTCATGCTGAAGCATTTTTGGATGTGAATTTCCTATCCATGCATAAATCCTAAGATATAAAATTTATACTCAAAATTATATAATCCTTAATTGATGGGATTGCAATAAAAAAACCCATAAATGTCAATGCTCGGTCAAAGCATTTCATTTTCTTGAAAACTTCTTACTGAGCAATTTATATGGAAGATGTTAAAAGAACAGTAAAAAACGGGTTGAGAAACATTGTTTGCTGATATAAAAGTTTGTATCATCATTAATTTCAACTTCATTTAACTGCAACAGAAGATGTAGTGAATGATATTAGTTTGATGCACAAACAAGTTGTGGATAAAGCTAAGAGTAACAAGCCTTTCTGCATCAAGGCCTGATCCTAACAGGTTAAGTGCACAGTCCTGCTGATTTCAGTGGAAATGACAGAGTAATAAAATAACTGTGTTTGCACAATCACTCTTATAAATGCATATAATAATCTCTTTTGGAAAGAAAGAAGAAAATATCAGTCACAAAGAGTCAGCCACTGGCCAGAACATGTTACTGCCTGATGCGTATCAGCTGCCACTCTCACGGACATCTCTCTAGCCCCTGGCTAGCTTGAAAAAATACACAACTGTCTTTCCTTCACTGAACACCCAATTTTTTACTCCCTCAGTTGTTTATAAACTCTGGAGACAAAGTGATGTTTTAATTCCATCTCCAGTATATAAACCTGGGAGGGGAGCTATAGGGCCAACAGTGTGCTGACAGCCTGCACTTCTAATGGTATTGCAAGGAGAGCTCTGACGAGTTTTTATAGGGTAGTATATAGCCCTGTTTATGCTACAAAGCTGCCGAAGAGCATATGTTTTGATGGAAGCTAGGATGTGAAAGAGGATGAGGAGTTTAGTATTAGGCTTGCTGTTTAATTTTATTTTTGTAATAACATATTTGCTAGTGTAATGGCTAAGTGCATGCAGCGGCCCAGGGGCTGTACTCTGTGCCTAGTAACTGTGGAGGAAATATGTAACAGATTAGCAGTAGTGGTAGAATAGATGCATATGACAGCCATGTTCAAGTTTTGGAGGACAAACTTGGAGGAAGAATGAACAAGTAAGGTAGATGGCTGTGTACCCTGAACAAAGAGTTCTACAAATCTAAACTAAATAAATCCTGCTTTTGGCTTGATCTTCAGCCTGTGGCCAAGTTTCTTCAACAGATTCATCAGTTAAGCTCAATGAGACAAGCCTAAGAGATGTCCAGCAACTTTGGGGCTAGATGTTGGGGTTGTCATTTTGCAAATGCTTATCCATGAGCTTGGCTGAAGAATGGGGACAGAGCTATGGAATCATTCGTTCATAAGGACCACTCGTGAGGCAAGTTAGGCGAGTGCGTAGGTGTTTGCAGGACGGGTGTAGCCACAGATTCTCTGAGTCGTTTGCATGTTTCTCTGAGTTTCTATGGAGTGCCAAACACAATAGCCACCCCTTAACAAAGACATGAAATAACAACAAATATAAATAGGAAAAAAGGGCTTAACATTGTTAAAGTAATCTTTTCTGGCTGCTCCTCCTTTAATGGAATTGCTGCATGTTGCTGTTTAGTGGCTTTGTGGTTAACATGAACAAAATAAAAAACAACATCAACAAAAATTTCAGAGAATGTCCTGATTAGTTCCCCAGTGCTTTGACAAGGAAAAAAGCTTCCACACAATATTGTAATAGCTATATGTGAGCCTCCCATTGAAATTTCTGCCAAAGCCGGTTAACTGGTTCTTCTGAAAACGTTAGCTTCTCAGTGTAATTCCCATGCAGTGTTCAGCAAGAGTATATTACGGATATATTTTGGGGTGTGGGGGGAGTATTAGATTTGATGAAATGCTGTGTTTCTCTCTCATAACAAATAAAACAAACATTTCATGTCTTTTATTAGCTACACAATGTTAATTGTAATGATATGTCTCCTGGAGTTTCCTTTTCTCCTTCAGCCTTGTAAAGAAATAGCAGGAAAGAATGGAATTAAAATGCATCACATTCTCCCAGGAACTGAGGAGCCTGTTAAATCACAGTAAAAACTAAATAAATAAAAAGACTACCACAGCAAAGCATCAATTTTCCGTAAGTTGTGTGAACATCCATAACCACTGACAGCATATTAACACTGTGTTTTGCTTTGCTTGTTTTAATCATGAGAATTCTATGACTTGAGAACTTAACTCCTAATAACAGAGCCTAAACCCTATTAGCATGTTCAAATAAGCATTTGCAGGGAGGCTGTTAAAGATATGTCAACAATATGAGCTCAGCTTTTTTCGTAATGGAAAACACACATAGCTGAGGACCATGTTTTATGTGTCTTTAAAGAGAGCTGGTTCAAATGAAAATAAATAGAAAGTGCTAGTAGAGATACTCACAGGGATGATCTGTCCACACACTCCGATGGGTTCGTGTCTTGTAAACGTAAAATAATCTCCATCTGAAACAGATGAGCATGGTTACTCTCAAGTGCAGTTTGACTTGGCAGAACAAAAAAAAAAAATAGAGGGGGGAAAAAGCTCTAAGGATCAGCCTTTGATGGCAGTAAAAGAAATAAAGAAGTCATGGAAGTGTTTTTTCATGAGCCAGCATGGGAAACCTAGGTTCAGGAGCAACCTTATTGTTCCTTCTGTAGAACAAAGGAAGCAGGCATCTCATCAGAAAGTAACCTGCTTTGTTCCTTGGGAAAGAAGACAAGCTGTACCGCACAAAAAAGGGCAGTAGCAAGGAAGGCACTTACTAGCCTCTGCTGATTTCAGGGTGAGAGAAGAGAAGGAAGAGTCACAAAGGCAATTTCCTGAAAGGCAGGACTGGGACAAAGCAATATAAAGGTATATATACAAGCAGATGTGCGATAATAGAGTAACGTACATCTCCCTCATCTTCCACTGAAGACACAGGCAGTTTCAAGTAATGGAATGATATACCACACTCTGTAGATGTGGAATGAAGAAGGGAAGCCAGTGACTGATGTGTAATTGAGCATAATTTACTGCAGAAGACAACACTAAGGAGAATACTGGGGTCATCGTATGGCCATGCTCTGATAGCTGACTTGTAGAACAAGGCCTGTATCAGAAATGGCCTCAAGCTAAATAGGCAGTCAGTTTAAGTTGACAGGGAAAAGTTGGATGCAGCTAGAAAACAAGACATCAGAGAATAAGAAAAGTTTTCACAAACCTTTTGGGCAAGGTAGAGGTGAATAAATAAATAAAGGGACCAAGTCAACGGAAACCTGGAAATTATGGGTTTTCTCACTGGACTTTTGACAGAAATAAGAATATGGACTAAGAGAGATCCTAACAACAAAGATGAAGGAAAAGCAGACTGCATGTTCACAAACAGCAGGTGTGGATGGTAGGAGGCTAAAGGGAATTACTTAATTAACTCTCTGATCTGGTAATTATTTTTAAGGCCCTGATGAACAAAAAATGGCAAAAAGCTCCAGGGATGAGCGGTATCATTAATTAAAGTGAGTGCTACGCTAGATCTGCAGTCCTTAACTAAAGCACTGTTGAGCTCAGGGCAGCCTGAGTCAGGTCATGAAATAAACAGATCTGTGATTTGGGGTCAGGCCTGTGGTCTGTGGGAACCTTTCACATGGCCTGGCCTGCTCAGAGCGGCAGGCCTCTGGGCTGGCTCATTTTGCACAGCTGGTGTAAGTGACTGTCATGGGGGCTGATGGAGTTCATGCTCTTTCACAAAGCTGCACGGTTGTTGCTGCTTCAGCACTTGTCTGTGGTCTGGGAGTACATGCTGAGGTTATACATGCTGTGATACGACGTAGGTTTCTTCCTGATTGATAAAGAGCAGGAAAATTACCTGCTCTGTGTGGGGACCGGTTAAGGTATTGTCTAACCATCAGCTTTGTTAGTGTGCTTGGCCTGCATCTGTGCAAAGTAGATTTACAGCACTTTTGTACCTAAATTGAGTCTTGTAGCTGTATAAACTAGCCCAGGCTCAAACCGCCTCTGAATTTAGGTCAAATGTTTTTCAGTGAGGCTACAGCTGAGGGAAGGGCATGAGCTGAATGTGCCCCTTGGCCTGTAGTGCTTGGTCATTTAGAAAAACTTGAATCTTTTTACTTAGGAAAACCATTTCAACTAACTATGTGATAATGATGAGAAAGTTACCTAGGCCCAATCACAGGAGATAATTTCCCAGGATAGGAAATGGTCAGACGGAGGAAGGGAGTAAAAGAAGGACAGCTTACAGTGCTTTTGCTCCCATTGTCACTGTCCAACGCAAGGGTATGTGCTTTCCTTCACATGGTGTGAGAGCATGCGGGCAGCTGTGGCCTCTACCCCATTCAGTTTGGAGCTGCCACCAGCCTTGTTCAATATCGGAGAAAGACCTAACTTCACAACTGAGAGTACATTTTGGGAACCTGCTGCAATGCCCTGTACTATACATCTGGTAACAATAAATGGGTTAATCCATAAAGCTTCTTGGGTTTAAGTAAAGACTTCAACTTGAATTTGGTTAGAAATAACCCATTTTCAGGACTGCTTATTTCTGTACATCTACTTTACAGGATTTGCTCAGTAGAAACCTGAGCTAGAGTACCTAATACATCAGCTGGGGGCCAGATACAGAATAATTATGAGAAAGGTAACAATAGTCTGCAACCAAGACAAGGGACAGAACAGAGGAAGTAAAGGAGGGAGGGAAAGA